ATATTAATTACTTTATAGAAATCGCAAATGAGAGATAGCTAATAATATATTTTTAAATAGTTCAACTTTGATAACATATTATTGTTAGAACCACTAGAATTATTAGAGAATTGTTCATAATATTATATTATTATATTATTATATTATTATATTATTATATTATTATTGAATATTTTAAACTATATGGTCTAAAAGCAATTAATTAATATATTATTTGAATTTAAAGTATTAACAATAACCTTTTATTCCCTTGCTATTCTCCTAATCTAGTTCGTACGAACCCTCGAAGAAAAACAAAACAATTAAAACTGAACCAAAAATACTCTCACTACGATTAAACAATTAATTTAAGGCATGAAGCTTTTTATTTATTTATTTCGTGTAATTTATTACACAAATATACCTAATCGTCTAGTATACGTCTATACTTGTATTACCTATATAGAAATAACTATAGGCACTGATACAAATTATTTATCATCATTAGCTGTGAGCAATAACGCAATTGATAATGTCATAAATATACCTATCATTAATTTTAAGACTGAAATAAAAATCAAAACTACTAGAATAAAAATAAATGTAATTACTTGCAGATATACTACTTTTTTATTGGCATTAGGCATGATAATGTTTCTAAACATTTAAATTTTATTTATTAATCAAACAAAAAAATGTTTGTAAATTTATGTTGTGGTCACTCTTTATAAAAAATCAGTGCAACTGTCTACAATAAGAATATATTTTAATGTTGGGAGAAAAAACTATATCGTGTTCAGAAAGTTTTAACAACACTACAATATTATAATCAAACTATTGAGACAAGTTATGAATTTTCTTAGGTCAAACGTAGTAAATTGTTTAAAATGTAGGAATTATTAGTTGTATCTATGTAACACTAATGCATGGGATATCGTGATATAATATGTTGTTGTCTGAAAAGTTATTTAAATTGTATAAGACATAGTAAAATAGGGAAATAACAAAATCTAATGAGGGTAAGTATAGAGAAGATTTTGTACAATGGCCAATGGGTATATGGCATTATTTGTATAATATACTTTAAAACATCTCAGATATCAGTTCTTCATATTATGATACGTATTCAAATCTCTCACCGGTTCTGCCCAGAGAACGGAGAAATTTAAGTTCATAATTCATAAAATCGCAGAACGACATTGCTGAAACTGTACATCAATATTACTTAAAAGTATATTGTGTAATTATAATAAAATTGTAAATTTTTATTATTATTTTGATTTGTATTTCCGTACGCCATTTCATACATTATAACGTTGTATTTGTGTATAAAATATAATATATATGAGATGGCAATATAGTAACTAATTGAATAGTTTTATCACGAAAATAATATGTACTCGAAAAATACAATATATCGATTTATGTCAACACAACATTTAGCTATGGAAACGTAGGGCAATTAGAGTGTTATACATTGAACCCTAGAGGGCTAGATGAGATAATCTATACTATTGTACATTTGAACCTAACAAAAAGCCATCTTATATCATTTTGAAAACATTATATTGTAAAAACGTATAATGATCGGCGACGATAAAACACACATAAAATAACTAAACTAATTCGTATAACAGAGTGGTATTATATTATCGTATAATTTACTTAAATCATTGGCGTATTTTTTTTTTTACTATCTATATAAAGGTTCGCGGGACAAAATAAAAACTATAATTTATTGCTGAGTAATATCAAACAATTCCTGACAGTTTCTAACTGAGAGGACATTTAATCGATTTGTATAGTTGAAATAAATGTCAACGACGTTTTAAAATAGTAACTAAATTGGATGTGAAAAATGCCAAAGAAATTATTCTCTCGTTATATCACCATTAAAATACTTCTCTACGTCAGCGTCGCGAGCGTCACAACGATCAAAAATTATAATTTAATCTGTATTATCTGTTATAAACGAACATTTTGTACGTTCTATAGAAACATTTGTCAAAACCACACGATATGTGATCATAATGTTTATAGCTTTAACATTTCATTTATCGACTACCTACGCGAAGTATCGCCGAGCACCTAGTTACCTATATAATAATATTATCAGTATTATGAAGGAGACGGTTTCGTCGTTAGTGTCATATATCGGTTGTCCCGTTTCGGGGTCAAAACGAATGAATGGGTAAAAGACTACTTCATTCATCTCGAATGAAATGCGTGTAAGCAGACCTATCATCATACATATTATATACAATACACGTGCCTCTAATATTGCAGTAAACATAATATTATATAGCTAACCAACTGCAGCAGTTCGATTGGCAATACTTGCAGGCTAAAAGTGTACTAATATCTGAATACATATGAAAAACAGTACCAATTCTGAATAATATGATATATGTCGTAAAGAATTATTAATTAAATATTTTGGAATACATGTCGTAAAGACGTAATTTATTTTGAATAATACACCTAATAACATTATTTAGGTATATAGAATCCAGAACATTTTAATGTTTTATCATTTTTTGATCTATAGATATAACAAATTAAAGGATGAATAACCAATATTATAGTAATTAATGAAGCTCAGCTGTGTAATCAGAGTGTCAGTGGTCAATCGCTGTAAGGTTCTATATTATAGGTATTTTATTCATATAATTAAGTCACAAGAAAAAAACGTCGTCCTATTCATTCTTTTCGTGTGTACGATATTATTTAGTTGAATATACACACGAACGGCCTGCAGAACATAGTAAGTTCTACCAACCTGTACCTGACAATTATTACCGATATCTTAGTGTGTTATTCAATGGGAGGGGGGAAATAAATGAGATATAATATTATATTATAAAATTAATTAATTTAAAATTGTTTTAAAAAAGTTATACAAAACACTCTCGAAAACAGTGTACATTAGTTCGTACAACTATCCAAATAGGTATGCCAATTAACGGAGCACCGTGCTGTAATATTATATCATTCAATACGAGCAGCGTCTTTGTACAGATTTATTATTATTATTATTAAAATAATATAATAATATATCATAATATATGCGTTTGTGCAGAATGATATACCATATAATATAGTATTGTTGGTAGCAGCGGTAACAATACAATATTGTATGGTCGTCAAACACGTATATACAACAATATATTATAATATGTTTATAGCAAAGAGGTGACTAATCCATATTTTAATGGTCTGCTTTGGCTGGTTTCTGTGAAAACCCGTAAAAATATTAAAAGTTCATCGTCTTCATCGTCGTTTTGAAAACATAACAACAACAGAGGGCACGAGTTCACGGGCCAGTGATAAGGCGCTGTTTTCCACTCGAATTCGAAAAATAACAATATTATACAGATAAGAACTGATATGGAAGAAGGATTAAAACGGTGAAGCAAGATCTGTTAATAATGAGACTCCGTAATAACGTCAGACGAGAGTTGATATGTAATATATATTATATTATTTATCGTACGTTGCCATTCCTCGTAACTAATCATTATTTATTGTTACAAGTAATATGTAAATTCATATAACTCGGCTGCCTCGTATATATTATTATGAACGTTTTCAAACGGTTTTTTTTTAACGATTTTAATAATAATAATTGTATTCATTGAGCATATTATATTATAATATTGTCAAAGAAACACTTTTCTCCGGCAGCATATACGTAGAAGACAAACAGCACGTAGGTACCCAACACAGTTGTTTATCGATCACATAATTCAAATTATTTTCTTATTGTACCAGTTTTTCTTTTTCATTTTTGAACACAATACAACATTTAAGTTGTTACATAGGAGTTCTACTCTGATATCTTGATAGCGTCGACGGACAATGTACAATACATCATACTGGTGCAATATAACTACTATATTACCATACCAACCGAATTTGTGTACAGTAAGCATAATATTAGGCTACGTGTAACTCCTACTAATGTAACCAATGTTTACCTATTTATAATTATGTTTTCATACTATAGTAAGACGAAAACATCACAAAACTTTCCACTAAGTAGGTCGGTAAGAAATACATAGACTCGTCAATATCACGATGTGTACGTTATAATATTTTACGTCAAGTCTTAAATCGCATGATTACATGAAATATTGTATTGATTATACTATGAGCGATGTTCTCACCTTGAGTATGATAATATTATTACATACGATCGATACAAATACAAGTTTACTTATAAGGTATACCTGTTACAATAATTAGTTACAGTAGGTACATGTAATACCCATTATTTCAATACGAGTGCCTATATGACGTACCATACTAACTAACTTTTGAATCAGCCATGTATAGGTGATTGGAATTAAGTCAATAACAATTATAAACATTTAAAGTTGTTCTATCAACGTATTATTATAATATGAGCAGACTACAATATCGCTGAATTATAATATCTGAAAATGGTCAATTCGACAATTTGATTAATAGTGAATAATAATATCTGTATACACCTACAGCGAGTTTACATTCGCTGTACGATAATATAGACATAACATAATAGTGTACCCAGCAATACAAACAAACGCATATATGTACCGGAATTGATTTAATTTTGTTTGCAAAACTTTTCACCATGTGCCTATCTATAATACGACGCACATTCGGATTAAACAAATATTTGTCTGTTAAAATAAACGAAATATACAAAATTTAAAATGGATTATAACAAAATATTCAAATTTATTTTATTTATTTAAAATTATTAAGTAAAATAAAAAAAAAGAAGGATGAAAAATAAATAGTAGGCGTAATAGAGAATTTATATTTTAATTATATAGATAATCATTTATCGTTTGATTTCAAAAATACACTGTCGGTCACTAACTGCGATTGGGACTCTAACCAATCACACCAAAAACGAAACCAAACAACTATTAATAATTTAATCAATACCTATTTTATTATGTCTATATTACAATATGATATAATTTAGTTGCGGTATTGTTATATTAATAGGTATGAGTGGCAGGACTACTGACCTGTCGTCGATCTTTTCTGGTGTCTGATATGCATGGTGACCGGAACGGGTGTCGATTTCCTGGTACTCGAGGGCGGTGTACTGCAATGTGAAAACGATGCAACGGCTACTGCAGAATCGGAAGTGCAATTTTACTTTTCACTTGCGTGAGGAAACGGACGGGACATTGACGCATTTCACTGAGCGCTCGGCCACAGAGAATCGAACGGAACGAAACGAAAACCGACGAAATCTTAACGAATGAGCGAGTTAAAAAAATTATAAAATCATAAAACCAAAAAAAAAAAAAAACCCCAAAAAAACGAAACTCGAAACGTTCCACAATCGGCACAGCAGTATGGATCGGCAGCGTGGCGTTTGCTGCAGCAGTGCGTCGCGGGCGAGATGACGTCCAACTGATCACTCTAAACGGTTTCTCTTCCTTCGTTTATCGACGTATGATAATGTTATTATTATTACGGCGCGTTATCACGATTTAATTACCGTAGGTATATTATTATTATAACGTTTTATATTTTATTGTTGTTATCCGCGGGGCTGGCGGCGCACACGGGTACGGTGGGTACGCGGAATAATGATAGCGATGATGTATCGGTATACGGTAGGTATATATAATGCGGTATGGATCACGGGCGGCGGGCACGGACAGTGAATCATAAGTGGCGATCGGTGGCGGTCTATCCCGCATGTGGGAGCCCGAGATCGAACAGGCCTATATCATAGTCGCGCGCATCGATCATTGTAATGGCGTTTTTATATTATTACTGTACGTTGTTGTCGTTCTTTTCGAGACGATTACAACTGTCGTCGGGTGGGGGTGGGGGGCGTGTGTAGCGATACCGCGTTTACAATACGCCGCCTTCGCCGTTACATTTAGTGTGTATGTACCGATGTATACCATATTTCATATTATGCGTTACCCCACTGTTTCTACTACCACCACCGCTCCCACCACCCCCGCCGTCTGACCATACTACCGCCCCTGATGCAGCAACCCCTACCCAGCACTACTGCTGCTGCACGCAAACATATTATACCTACAGCACAAACGCACAATCAATTTTGTGTGTAAACGTAAACAATTAAGTAAAAAGTAAAAAACACTATCTATGTTTGAACGTCTTTTTTTTTACAATATTTTAACTATTTACTGACTTATGACTTTATGAGTACGTGTAAAATATTGCAAATTAAAAATGCTCATCGTAACACGATCTAAAGTTAATTTATCGCAAAAAGCCGACTTGCACAACATATTATGTATTATTATAATATTCTTACCTTTAAGTTCGATTATTATTATTTTCGCTTGACAATTTTAACAACTCATAATAATTTCCCTATTTACAACAATATTATTGTGTATTATTGTATTACCTAACTGTAATTTGCTACCATGTGGCTTACAACGGGAAAACATCATAGACAATAGACGGCCATAGGGAATATTAGGACAGTCGGCTGTTGTACGGTTCTTATGACCTCACTGCAGCGATCATGAGCAACACCAACTTTGAATTTGATGACGATGTATCGCTTCAACACAAAAGTTGACAAAAAAATTGTTCTGCAAAGTTGCAACGTTATACGTTTACAAGACGTGCGGCCGTGTGGCGTCCTCTTATTATTAGTCGTGTTTTTATGACGTATAACATTTCTTTATAATATCGCACCTCGGCCTCTGCACGTTTTGTACTGTATATTTTACCACCACCCCCCCCCCCTTCCACGGATTACACGCGGCCAGACAATATTGTTTATAATTGCTACAGAGGCGTTCCAACGATAGGAGTGTCTTGGGGTTGATTGTTTTGGGTTTGTTTTATTATTATTACTATTCTTTCGCCCTACCCTCGTGTCTTAAAATCCTTATAATATATGAGCGTTCCGACTAATTAATAATCATATAAGTGTGTGCGAGCGGATCCGTGACGCGTGTGATGGATGTATAATATGCTTCTATAAATGAAAATTGTTGTGCTCGGCTGTTTGTATTTTCATTTTTCTCCCACCTGACTGTAAATAGTTATTATAATATATAACGGCCAAGGCCCCGTTATTATATGCCATGAAGTCGCGGATGATGAGTTCGGATAAGGAAAAAATGTCGAATTATAATAATTTTATGATAGAATATTATATCACTATAGTATGTTGTATTGTGTGTTTTATATTGAAAACGACTGTGTTCTCGAGAAAAGTATTTTGTTTTTATGAGGGCGTTCTTGGTAATAGTAATAATTATTTTAAATGCGAATGTGATAAATCGATGGGAAGTTGATAATAGTTAAATACGGTACGACATTAAAAACACCAGTAAAGTTGTTGAATTCTTGAATTTAAGTTATTTAATGTAGACATTTTGTTCTCAAATAATATATTCAATGCTAATGATACTAATAATAATTGTAATAATGTATAACTAAAATTATTATTATTATTGTTACTTTATGTTTATATAAACAAAACTTAAAAGGAAATTAAAACAATTTATGGTAAAAATACATTTTATTAGCTTAGGGTTTGCTTTATTAAAATAAAAATATAAAATTGCTTTTTCTAAAAGTAAAATAATAAACACAAAACGTACTGTATTGTATATTATATAAAAGCCATCCTGAATCGATATTTTCAGTAAATTACAAAACGTGAACGACTACGTATTTGGGGGATAAATCCGACCACGGGATTGTATATTTTGATAAAAAAAAAGGTCGCAGGAATAAATAAGTAAACCTTAGGGTTTCAAATATATATAAGAGCAAAGGTCGAGAATACCGACAAACATTTTTTATAGAAACTTAAAATAAAAAAAAATAAAATATCGAAGAAAACATTTTTATAGTTCAGAATTCCTTTACCTCGATACTAAAAACTAAATTAATTAAAAAAATATGCTTTTAAATAAAACTTTTTGCAACAAATTTCTTTAACAAATTACAGCATAAATATAATGTTATGCAGATACTATAAATTATAATATCGCTATAGTATAACATGTATAGGTATGTGTGCCATTATTTACGAAAACAAAATATTTGTACGGAAGTCCTTGAACAACAACTACAACAACAACTACAGTCGCTGTTATAGTAATAAACTACCTTAACAAGCTTACATTTCGACGTGGATGTTTTGTCGGTCCCTCATTTTTCGGAAGTACCTACCTACCTTACCTACGCGTAAATACTTTTCGAAATATGCAATTTAAACATACCAGAAATATACTTATCTGCATACCGCTTTAAAAACATTCATGTCATTTTAAAATGTAATTCGAGAATATCGTAAAAGTATAAAAATCGTCCATACTTCGGATATTCAAAGCAAAATCACATTCCTCATATGTTTATAAATGTCAACATTGTCATGCTCAAATATATGGGATCATCGTCGCCGTGTCGATAAATTCATTAAACCTATAATATAAAAAAATATATTCTCTAACTGAAACGAATAATTACGAAGTCAGTCAAACAAATTATTTATATATGTTATGTTTCGCGCAATTAAAGATTATAAAAACTAATTTAAGTACATTTATTTTATGGACGCAATCACATTCTATAACATTATTATATTATACATATATTATGTATTGCTTTATTATTTGTACATTCAACACTGGACCACAATAATATCAACTGAACATTTAAATAAGTGGTATATGACATTATAAGTTTAATTACATATTTACACGAGTATATATGTTGTATGTGAACTTATCATGGCTCTGTACTGTATATCATATTAGTATAATATGTATAATTAATTCAAAGTTAGATATCTTATATTTTGTGTAACATGAAATATGTATAGTATATACTGAACAAAAACTAACACAATTATATTATTGTACATTTGTACTGAGTTTTATTTTTCTTGTGTTTAATACTTTAAAAAAAAAAAATTGATTACAAAATAATATATGTATATATGGCCGCAGGTGTGTATAATCAACAACACAGATACGTCATAAGGCCACGTATCGATGGAATAGTATTTTGATGTATTGGTCAATTAAAATATAGGTATCAACAGATTATAATATTATACAAATTAGGTATTCAAACTGTTAATATTAAAATGATAATAATAAACTGTCAACATAGTTGTATAGGCCATTTTATAATGCCGAACAAGTCCCCTTATATGAATTGAAGAATAAAAATCTCGGAAAAAAAATCATCAGACAACTACAATATTACTCATAAATACATGCAAATTATTGAACAAATATTTTTTAAGCACTAATCAGTGTAATTACCAACATTATTAATATTATGAATTTTTATTAACATTATTAATATTATAGTGTAGTAATATATAATTAAAATGTCGAAAATGTTCAATTTTAATATCTAAGGATTGAACGTTTAAAATTGTACGTTTTCCATCATATTTTGATGATAATGTAAATATAATAATATTAGGAGGAGTTCTTACAAGTATTACTCTATACATAGATGCACATGCAATGTTTAAATGATTATAAAAAAAAAAAGCAAAAACAATTATCAAACAACAGTTAATGAATGTAGGAATATAGGTACATACTCACAGTTAGCATAATATACAAATATTTTGAATGATCGATATACGTTAAATAATACAAATAATTACCTTATATGTATTATAGTTAACCAAAGGTACACACTAGAACATTACCGTTGTACTACACCGTACACGACAATAGGTTACATTCTAAGTTCTTAATTTTTATATCGTATATAATATTATCGTCTAAATGTTATATGGAAACTTAAAAAAAATAATATTTATTTTAATGATTTAGTTGTACAGAATCATACTTAATGTCGCAGTATATAACAAAATATTAATGGTATATATGTAAAGTATATATTTGTTATTAAATATTAATAATAATAGTAATATTACTAATTAGTAGTAATAATTACACTAATTAGCGTAAAATTTTTTTTCAGTACTTGCATGTGTTTGCGAGTAATATTGTAGCCTGGGATATTTTTTCTGGGGGATTTTTATTTCGATTACTTCTTTATATAAATATCATTACTTGCGACTATACATATATTATGTATATATATTTTACACCAAGGATAAGTAAATAACTGTAAATTGTAATCGTAGTAATAAACTGGATTAAGATAGGTTGACTCAAAAACCAACATTGTAACCATTAAAGTTAAGTTGAAGGTAATAAATTATTAATAACCTTTATCCAATATTGTCCATAGCAAAAACTCAATCCCAATTATAATTTTTTAAATATTTTAACTGCACCAGGGATTATTATTAAAAATTGTTCGTTACACTTTATAAGTATAAGCCTTATCTGCAATGCCAGAGGTCGTATAGCCACATAGGCTCACTATAGCAATAAGACCAACGAAAAAAGACTAACACGAATAATAGGTATATGTAACTCGATGTGTAATTTGTTTGGAAATTCTAAAACGAAAAAAATAAAACATTTATAAAGTATACACTATACACAATCGTTTCTGTGTACATCTATGAACTATGTCTATGGATGATAATATTGTATTGGTAGTCAACAATCATATCGGATATTATCGAAAATTATCTTATCAAACTATCGATATTTTTAATGACTCACAGCCGGTACCACGGTTAGTATGGCTAACATGTGTTGTCCCGAACTTATATATGCGAGAGGGATACCGCGATAGAACATCATAGGCGAAAATATGGCGATTGGTTTTTGGGTGGTCATCCTATCACCCCGGTGGATGATTTATTTCAATTACTCTGTGACTGT